CTGGAAGGCACGTGCACTGCGGTGAGTCAGCCAACGAATGGAGTTGATGCTTCATCCATTCCTAGCAGCAAAGGTAAACAGACCATAACCAGAATACCAGCAGTGTGTGTGCATGTGGGTGTGCGTGCGTGCGTGTGTGTATGTGCCCTTGTTTTTGCTACTTGGTGGGGACAATTTTTCAGGAAAATGCAGCCTTGTGGGGACCAACGCCTGGTCCCCATGACTTTGGAGGCTGATTTTGGGTGGGGTGGGTGGGGGGTTGGGTTTATGACTAAGATGTGAATTGAGTTTTTGTTAGTTTTAGGGTCAGTGAGGTAGGTACCTGTGAGGTTAATTTTAAGGTAAATGATCAGGGTTAGGTTATAAAATAAAAAATGAATGGAAGTCAATGGAAAGTCTCTATAAGGATGTAGAGACAGTGTGTGTGTGGAGGGGGGAGCTGTTTATATGTGTGTTCAGACTGTTAACTGATGCCATATAAAAAAAACTGAATGGAACTGAATTGGAAAAACTCAAAATAGATCTCAAATATTTTTCTAAAAACCTTTGTAAAATAAAACATTTAACAGCTACAAGCAGATGTTTAGATGCAGTTTAAGTTGACTGTGGTGTTTTGGTGAAATGAGGGACAATTGCAATTAATATTCATTTCTATCCTCGTGGTAAAGCTCCTATTGTGGAAAAAGCTTGACCCTAATTTTCCACCCGGGGTTGGTAGAGGCACCATGAAACAACATGAATGGAGTCTGAAGCTGTGAGGTTCACTGCCATTTATCACCCCAATCAGGACAAGCAGCAACAGAGTAGGTCCGGTGAGTGCCTTGTGGCCAGGTCACAGTCTGGAGGGCACAGGGAGGAGCAGATCCACTGAGGGGGTTTGGGGCAGACACAGGGTAGGCACATCAACATGAGTGTGAGAGGACAAAAAAAAAAACTGAAAGGAAGGGGAAAGAATAGTGAGAAAAGAGAATAAAGCTCAGATTGATTGATCACACATGTTAGCTCTTTCTTGTGGGTTTTATTTTGTGATCTAAACATTCAGAATTTATTTTTAAAATGTGTTAGAGTAGACATTTCRCTCATGCTATTGGTTTATTCTGTGACTGAATTTGAGTCTGACTAAAGATTAGAAAGCCCTGTTTTCTTCTTGAACCTTTTTTTTTTTTTTTTTTTGAATTGGGCACTAACTTGACCTTTGGACAGAAATGCTATTACTATACAGACATTTGACACCATTAACATGTATTGTTTATCAAAACACAAGACAAAAAAACTACATTTGGAACACAATTTTAAAATTGAGCATCTAAAAGATCTTTTGTAAAYTGAGCAGATCATTCCACTGATCTGAGTCAAAACACGCAGCAGWGCAAAAAWWAAAAAWWAAAAAAACGTGTTCATGAATACTTTGTTCTTGTAGCCCATTCATCAACATCTCTTGGCTCCTTAAACTTCAATACGTCTCTCTCTCTTGTGAAGATAACAAGGCTGCAAGAGGCTTATCCTGACGGGGATCTGAACCATGCCTCTGTTCCAAGGGCAGGAACGGAACCACTGTGCCAACCTACCTTAGTCAAACCCTGAAATCTAACATATGTCTTTGGAAAATGGACAATAATTTGTAAATAAAATGTAAGTAATTAATCTGTGCCATTGTTTAATTTTTATTTTTTTTCATGCAGATGAGAGCCTTTAACTTAGCAGTTCACACCCAGAAGAGAGTGAGCTGATCCCYCCGAACACACTGCCAGTGTCATGACATGGATCAAAAGCTTTGCCAGTGGTCTGATTGATTTGAACAAGTTTCTGGATCACACCACTGTTAGAAAGTGTAGCTGAGGATGATACATTTTGCCTTTGTTTCATGTTTGACAGTGCTGTGCTTGTTTTTTACAGTACGGCAGGGCCGGCCCTAGCCAATTTGGCACCCTAGGCAAGACATCAGGTGCCCCCCATCCCCTGCCAATTTCCAATACCAAAATATTAATTTTGTCTTTGATATTARTTTCTTTCTTTAGAAACTAAGTTGTCCAATTAAAAAAGTTAACAATATGATTATTTTGATACAGAATAACAGAAGTCTRCCTTATACCTGCCARCATCTGCTGACAAGAATGARGAACAYCTGTTCATGTCAATGAGAAATTGTGGAGTGAAGCAGTTCTAGGGGRGATCTAGTGGTATACTCCCCCCAAAAAATACCAAAAACTCTGCATTTTCCAGTCATTTSAAGAGCATYTTACTAAATTCTTGGGATTAATAAAACAACATAAAATCAGTATTTTATAAAGGTGGAACAATGAAAACCAGACTAACTTCKGAGGTCATAACTGAAATTTCCATAATCCTTGTGTTGTATTTACTAACTGAGCACCAGTAGTTAGTCTTGAATGCATCACATACTTTTATAATGCAACATCCWCTGYAMTATAACACCTCATGTAGTAATAAAACAGACTGAGAAATGCCCAGAACAACCCACAGGCCACTCCTGCACTACGACTGTTCAGAAGTCCATTCACATGGTTTTCAAGGCTGTTTATGCAAACCCTCCAACTCCTGAATTCCCATCAAGAAACCTCCCCTTTCCTGCCCATGTGAAGCATTTTCGTATTAAACATAGCACATTCTTTTTGCAAGAAAAACTGCTTTTTGTTGTTGCGTGAAAGCCTGTTACTACATATATGAAGGAGGCTCAAGCTGCTGCAAAGCATGATGGACATCTTCTTTAACGTTCCCTAAACGAAGGAGCTGTCATTCATTCATTCATTCTTCCATTTCATTTCATTTGTTTTCCATTCCATGAGGGGATGGAGCCTATCCCAACTGTCAACAGACAAGAGGTGGGGTCCACCCTGGACAGGTTTCCAGTCCTTGACAGGGGAAGCTGTCACGGTCAAAGAAAACAAAAGCTAATTAGAAAAAAACTGACATTAATAAAGCAAACAAGTTCAATCTTTACAAAACATTTCTGTGCCAATAGCAATTCCTTTTCCACATTTCCCTCCAGCCCCRTCTGAACAATGTCACCATTATGTTTGCTCCGAGGCAAAAAGAAAGGAGAGCTTAGGGCTTTGATACAAATAGCAAAAAAAGGTAATGAAAAGATTGACATTCCTTGCTGGTGCCCTCCATTGAAAGTCATCACAGAGACTGATTCACAAAGATTACTTAAAATTCTGCTGGTGGGGCTGAAAATACACCCTCATTTCTCWCAGATAATGGAAGCCTACATTCTGGCTGTAATGATACTGTTTGGATTTCTAATGAGTACACTTGAACTCTGACCCTTCAACCCCCTCCCAGAGATGATGAGACAGTTGCTCTTCACCAAATGCATGTAAATGTGACTATTATGCTGATAAGTAAGCATGTGGAAGTTGTTCCAGCTTCAAAAGAAACTACTTGACTTCACGTTTTGACATCTGTCCAAGAAGAGGAGCAATCACACACTTGAACTAGTTTTGGGACGATTGAAACACAAGACTTGAATTTTGTTATCTGTTCTTTGTAAGATGTGYGGTGTAATGCAGATACTGTATATTTAGCATAATAGAAATGGCTGTGATGTTTTCAAATAACCTTTTGTGTAGATGTGGTGGTGATGGCCAGAGATGTTCCTCCAGGTGGTTCTTTGAGATGCTGCAATCTTGTCCACTGGGACTACTTTTAACATCTGCAATAGATAAATTGTTACAAAATGCTACGCTGTCAAAATTGCAAACACTTTTTAAGTTCCTGTTGAAGTAAATTGTATTAAAGATTAATTTACTTTGTTTACCAAAGGAATATTTAGTTGTCCCTACCATACTGAGTTTATTCGATGTTACAATGCATTCCAACAGCACAACAAAAAGCTTTTTGTAAAACAGCCAAACATGAATTCAGTTTTTAGTATAATGCAGATGCTGTTCTGTAGAAGTTATTTGCAAGGTTTTAATGAATTTAGCAGCATGTGGGAAACAAATTGAAAGCAGATTAATGATATTTTTATTTGATTCATACTTGTGCAAATGCAAACAGTACTTTATATTATTTGATACTTTATGTAATAAGTACTAAAAATGTAACTTGTGTTGGAACATAATGGTTATAATGATGGTCAGTAGTTCTCAGCATCCTCATTTAAACAAGCACAAATTTAGACAYCAACAGTAGCATTTTCGCTTGAGCTGAAGCTAAAGAAATCTGCACGAGACCAACATCAGCACCAGGCGTGCAGCTGTGAGACAAAAAGTACTGATTGTGAGACAAATGTCTTCTTCTTGCAGATTTCTCGTTATGGAAGATCAGCTCTGCTCAGGTTCAAACCTCAACAGCACAGCTGAGAAGAAAAAAAAAGAGCTTTATGCTATAAAACATCATAATGTTTCTCTATTGAAAAGAGGCTGAAGCCTTTTGTCTCTGGGATTTATTACGTGGAAGAGCATAAATGGGCAGGATACGGTATTCATTATGTTTTGGATGGGAGTTCTGTGAGTGGTAGGTAATGGTGCTTAGGGAGCACTCATGAGAGAGAAAGTCATGCATTCTGTGGGCTAAATGAAAGGCGTGTGCCAACTGTCTTTGGGTTCTGTGAGGATCTTAGGGGAGAAGAGAAATGTGTTGATTCCAGACAGTGTAGGGGGAAAATGATGATGCAGCATGCATGAGAGGGGAATGGGCTCGGTTACATAACTCAGTTTTCCAAAGTTTCAGTTAGAATTTGATCTGTGTGCTTCCAGAATACAGTAGACTTCACGCAGGGCTTAAAAAACAAATCTTTTTTCTCTTTCCCCTTTTTTTTAAATGAACGCTCTTAAAAGTGGCGCTGCACGTTTTGTGGATTGTTGCATCAATCAGAAATGTAAACTCTCCCAGGAAAACATCTGGAAGTTGTGGCWGTCCTAAATTTTATGACAATGTAACAGTTTGTCAGCTCAAATATAAAATGAAGGGGAACGATCAACACAGCTGCATCCATAATCAATGCAGAGAGAGAGAGAGAGAGAGAGATCTGTTACAAAAAAAAGGGAAGAAAAATCATCATGTAACTTGGCAGAGTGTGGCCACATGGTCCTGTGTGTGGAAGCAACACAAGGGGGTGTTACTTCTTGCAAAGCTCATGCAATCCCTCCAAAAATTCCCAGTGACTTCAGATCCAAGGAGGAGGTGATCTTCATGGGAGCACGGTTCAAACTCTCACTTGGAGCGCAGCTTCAGCAGCCGCTCTTTTTGCGCCAGTTCTCCACTTAAACAGACACTAAAACAGATGGAGTAATGTTTGCCTAAAACAGTTGTTTTTTTAAATCTCTGCGCTGGAAGATTTTTTAAATTAATTTATTTTTTTATTGTTAGGTGCTGATTTGATAACCTGAAAACATCCTGAGTCTTACCTGGACATAATGAAAAGCTGTCCAGGCGTCTTTCACAGCTGGGAGAGGATGCTGCTGGTTTGAATTMTCGTGTAAACAAATGGTCAATTTCTTCTTCTTTTTTAAAAACATTTGATCATAACTCGGTGCCTGACTGTCACTTTACGCGGTAGTTTCAAAACTTTGAACCAAAATGAGACGCGCGGGATTTGTTGTTTTGTTGACTGTGGCGCTGGTGTGGGTTGGAGGCAGTGAGGAGACGACAGGTGGGAAGCGTGAGGGCGCAGGCCAGGTGGACCGGGACCTGCAGCTGTCCCGGGAGATCAGTCAGTCTTCGTCGTCAGGGGATTCACGGAGCGAGGCTTCTCCTCCCGGAGCTCCGCTCCGGACTCCCAGGGGGGCAGCGGCTCGAGAGGACGGCGGCAGGCAAGCGGCTGCGRGCGCCTCCGGGACGGAGCTCCCCTCAGCGCCGCGCGCCGCCAGACACCCGGGGAGCCCGCAGCAGAGGAGCGGGGCGAACCGCAGGCAGAGCCCCAGAGCCGGCTCTGCAGGAGCAAGGCGACTCGCTGGGTAAGAGAAGCCAACTCCACATGCTTCCCACTCATAATCAAACTTTTGCATTCACTCAGCAGCAGCAGTTTCATTGGAATCTGTGTGACCTATTTTACTGCAGCCAACATGAGTCCATGCGGTTTACTGTATAATGTGGYGGTGGCCCACTGCAGCACAATCTTTCTTCCTGTAAGGAAAACCAGCAGATGATGTAACAAGAGCCACAAAGAACTCTGTAAATACTATTAAATTGTCATCCAGAGAACATGTACCTTTCAGGCCAACTGAATGTGAGTTTTAATGCATGCTGGGAGTTTTGTTGTGAGAGGTCATGCCAGGACATGAAATGATTTCTGTGGCAAAAAACACCTTGACAGTAGCTAAAGTATACCAGCATTACACCTCACGTTATATTCATTGTATCAGATAAACTTTGAGTATCTCAGATTTGTGAGCTTTTATCAGAGGCTCATCCATAAATAGCTTTAATTTGTGAACCTCTCTAATCAGAAACACCTGTTCCTCTGTCTGGTTTAAAAGGATGATGGGTTGTTTCCATTAAACAGCTCTTCTTGTTAAATGGATCCTCCTGCATCCACTTCTGTTTGTTCCATAGGGACGAGGCTTTCATCCACAGGAGAGGCTGAATATTTACAGAATAATCAGAGAGGGGGGTTTAAAAGGCTCGTATTGGTCTGTGTGAATATGCGGGTCAACACTGGGCTTTTCGCTCAAAGAAAATTGATTATCTGGGTAATTTATGGTTTCGTTTCACAATAAACAGAACGTATCTAATTAGTTTGCACAGATATACACGTCATGCATGGTTTCTTGTCTTAAACCCCAAACAAACAACGATAACAACAGCCCAAACGGTAAATAAACCCCAATTTGTGGCTTGAACTCTCCAATTGCTCAGCTGCTTTGCTAACCCTTCTTAGTTATATACTTTTGTGGTAACATTTTCTAAAAAAAAGAAAGAAAGAAAGAAAGAAAGAAAGAAAGAAAGAAAGAAAGAAAGAAAGAAAGAAAGAAAGAAAGAAAGAAAGAAAGAAAGAAAGAAAAAAGAAAAAAGAAAAAAAAAAGTCTAACATCTTAGAAATCCCCAAAACCTTGTCCAGCTGCTTCAGTAGGCTAAGCTTAACAGAAATTATACATTGTGCACTGGACGTTATAAACATCAACCTTCTCAGTTGCAGTTTAACACAACATGCTGTCCGTTTAAAGCACCGTGCAAAGAAAATAGGTGCCTTCATTATTGGATCCAACATGCTTTATTACAGCATGGAGTGAAAGCCTTGCTGAAAAACACGGCTCAGCACTGAATGAATAGACTTCTTTTAGTTCCAAAGAGCCGTAAAATAAGTGTTGCATAAATGTACAGGAGCGTTAGCAGCCTGCCCGGTGATTTTAACAGTTTTTTTTATTCGTTTGTTTCAGATGAATCATCTGCTACTTGTTAGTGAAAGTGAACGTGCGACACATTTCCTCTTGGAATTCCCTCTCAGCGCTCCTATTTACCGTATCTCCAGCCCCTGGCAGTGCTGGATGCACTTAACCCACCCCTCCTTACATTATGTGACTCAGTATGACTCCCGCTCTCTGTGGTTAAAAGAATTGCTCCCGGATCAAAATGTGCTAGAAAAAAAGGGTTAATTGTGCGTGCTTGTGTGTTTACCTGGAGCATGGTAGTCTTGTTGTATTAACATCTCCATTACAGACACAAATCCCTTGATGGAATTTGTAACGTGATGACTGAAATCTTTGGCACGGGCCCGGCCTGATGTGCTTGATTTACGACAACAATAAGCCTGCCAAAAGGTCTAAATGACTGGATGTTATCCCTGTGACGCCTCCGTAACACTCTCAGCTAATAATTGCAATCCGACTGAGGTCAATGAGTTAATCCCTGTTATCTCCTCAAGTCTCCATGAGTCAGAGATCCACTTACTGTAATATCTCATGGAAAGACAATGAAGCACAGATTTGTGGTCGGATGCTTTTTTATCTTTCTCATGACAAAAAGAAAAAAAAAGGAAAGAAAATGCCAGATAAGTTCAGAGAGCAAAGAATCCAGTCCTAGCTGTTAAAAACTTGTCATCTCTCATTTGTTGCATGGTTTATAGAAGTTGCAAGATGTAGTTTTATGTCTCTCGTGTCTCCCATAATCCCGTTAAGGCTCAAATAACTCGGTATTTGTGTTCACTCTGGATCCTTACATAATAGAATGAGAGGTTTGTTGGTCCACATTAAGACAGAGATTTGTGACTTGCCCTGAAGTATTTATTAAATAACATGCTATCATAGATAATCTCAAAGGTTCACAGAAAAAACAAAAAAGCCACAACAGAAAGTTCAGACTAAAGTTGACATTTTGGAAGAGAACTTTTTTTTAGTCATGTAACAATTTGAAATCCTAGTTTACTCAACGAAAAGGTGGTTTAAGTGAGTTTCTGTCTAATAAATCCTTTTTACATTTGACTCAGGCCTAACGTCTGTGGAGGTCAGCAGTGCTGCTCGGGTTGGGCGTTGGCACCAGGAACCAATCGCTGCATAAAACGTAAGTATGATGATGTCCTACAGCATGTACTCTTTAAAACGGAAGCAGATGATTGTTTTTGCTTTTTCTCATCATTGGGAGGCATGCAGGCTGTGTCTCATTTCGGGGGGTTGCAGCCCACATAGATCGCAGCCCTTTTACACAGCATGAAATGGCTGTGAAACGAGACAATCTAGTCTTTTGATTGATGGATGTTTGCCTGACGACGCGTTGCCCCTTTATGGACTCGACACATGGGAGGCGACGTCGCTCCCTCTCCTTTCATTTCTTATAGAACTTGCTTAAGGGTTCCCACGGGTCCTTGAATTCCTTGAAAGTTTGTGAATTTGAAAAAGGATTTCAAGGCCCTGGAAAGCTTGTGAAAGCAGCCAAAAATTACACTTGTCCTTGAAAATCCTTGAATGTTTTTTTGGGGACTGAAGTTCTCTATTCACACAGCTGATTTTCATCATCTATAAAGAAAAAAAACATACATTTGTTGCTGTGGATAACTCAGGATTACWGTAAACTGACGAGCTGAGTGAAGCTGACCCCTCCCAAAAAATGAACCACAGAAAAAAAAGATGCAAAATATTCTGAGTGGTTAGTGCTTCGTTTGTGCAGGTTTGTGCACTTGAAATTGTCATTTGTGCTGCTAGGGCTTTTTATATATTAAAGATTATTTGTAAGGGTCATTCAGTGGTCACCATTGCTCCAAAATGAACCAAAAATAAACCAAACTAGTTGAATTTTGTAGTGCTTTGTTTGAGCAGGTTTGTGCGGTTGAAACGGCTGTTTGTGCTGCTATAATTCATTAGATATTACACGTTATAATTTCGGACGATCACGTGACTTGGCCTGAATTGTTTGATTCACTCGTACATATGATCATTTTTTCCTTTCCTGTATTCCCAAAATCTTGATTATTTGGTGTCTTATGYTGCTGTTGGTTGCTGGGCACATGGAAATGTATCAGATCTTGTCATCAGCAGAGTTGGCAAAAACACGGCCTGGAAAAAGGAAAAGTTATTCCTATTGTCTGCTGCCGAAAGGCAAAATCAGATGATTACGTTTTTTTTCCCCCCTTCGTGTGTTTGTGTGTCTGTCTGTTACCAGAAATATTTCACGAACCCCTGAATAGATTTTAATGAAATTTGCAGAAAAAGAGTTGGACTTCTGGAGTCGATCTGATTCAAGATGGCTGTTCCGGTTGGTCGACCTCAAAAAATACACAAATGGCTTAAACTTAGTCCATTTTAAAAATATTGACTTAAAATTTGATGTGGTAGGAGATGAGGCTGATCCACAACACATATTTTAAGTACTAAAATATTGTGCAAAGATTTTTGTTTAAACATTTGCCATTATTCCTACAAGGAATTCTAGGCCTGTACATTTGAATAAATTTATGTTTTTTCTTTCATTCGGCCTCCAAACTTTGAAAGCACTATCACGTATCTGTGAAGTCATAAGCAGCAAACTGACATCAAACACACATATTAGTACATTTTTCACTGGTAAACTTTGAAAGGCTAAGATTCTCATGCACACAGGCTAGAAAAAAAAAAGCACAGTAAATGAGTCCTAATACTATCCTGTCAAATAGAAGTGCCCTATGAACATTTTAGAGGGTTATTGCCCCCATGGTCACGTTCATCATGCGGTGTTTTCATTTTCCTTTCATGTAAGACTCTTGCTTGGAATTAACCAAGAGACAGGAAATTGGCTCTGTTGTTTTCTCTTTTTTTGACTCCAGCCCATAATTACAAGTGAAGCTGCTTCTTTTTTTATTTGACCACAGCAGCACTAGTTTTACTAACTGCCAAAAAGTAAAGACTGAATGAGGGAAAGTAACTGTTAATCTAGCTAAATTCTGGAGTTTACAGTAGTTAGTTGTGTGTGTTGCTGTTTATGAACAAAGCTACACATCTACCAAACAGCAAGAGAAATGTTTTTTTCATTTTTTTACTTGTTTACTGTCTTCCCAGTTCCTTCTCTGATAATTATTTCCCTCCCTAACACATGAAAACACTTTTCACACACATTTTTGCGAGCCAATTACACAACAAGCTGACTGTCCCGGCAGTCTTCTTATTAGACCCCCCCCCCCACCCCCCTCCATTTGTGCTGGCTTCTTTAACACACCCCACATAGACAMACTGAGAAAGGCGTAAATTGCAGCTTGTGTAGTGGGGAGGCGCATTTACCTTAAGCAAAAAAAAAAAAAGTTAATTTAATCTACCAGAAAGAAGCAGGTTCGATTTAATGCGTTCATGTTAAACAAGGCATTGTATTTGAGCAGGCCGAGGGTCTTGCTAACCATCTGGAGCCCCTTACAGCTTGGCCCTCACCAAGGTTTGCCGTGTTATCATCGGCTGAAAAAGGCTCCACGGCCGGCAAGGTGCCAACCCAAAGGCTTCAGGCTGGATTAGGGACAGGAAGACCCCATGTCGAAGACTTTAGGAGTGGAAAACCAGCTYAGGCTATCTTTAGTCGGTCCACGCCTGAGTCCCAGGCTGCCTTTTTTTCTTCTTTTTTTTTAAGGGTATTTCAGGCAGTTTGAGAAAACATGTTCAGAGAAGGRGGGGGGGGGGGACGAAGAGAAACAAACCTGTCGCCTGTGAGCAAAAGTGAAAACATAGCTGAGCTGTTTTAGGAACTTCCTGCCGAACGGGGGTTGATGTAATGTCTAAAATTCGAAGCTTCAGACTTGGATTTGGGTTCTAGAATAGCGGCTTTCTAACAATACCTCCTTATGCAACAGAGTTTAGCTCAAAGCAAACACATGACAGGGAGTGGTTTGCTTTTTTTTTCATTCAGGGAGGCCGCCTACGCTTCTGTTATAATATGTTCATAAAAAATATCACTTCTGTCTGTGTGGGTTTGTGTGAAACTTCATTTTCTAGAGATGCTTTGCACCAAACACTGCGGACGTTAGTTCATGAATAATCTGTCATGTTAAACACRTTTTATCCAGCAGCTAAGAACCTCACAGTTCAGTCACTAAATACACCAGTAATGATAACCTGAGGAGCGTTGTACAGCTGCCTAAACAGTAATTGTCAATGAAAAGGAGAGCAGCATGTTGGTTTATTACCAACAAATTCATTCCCATTGAGCAGCTTGTACTGGAATTGGCGGTTTACAAAATGATATCTTACTCTGTTGTGGAATTAGAGTGGAAGTTTGAATATCTGGCTTGTTTGACGGTAAATACCATAACCCTCAATTATGCTAAATGTATTGAACATTAGTGTGAGATGACTGTTTTGAAGTTCTGGTTTACAACATTCTTGGAGAGGAAAACACTAGTTAGGGACTTTTAAATCCTCAGCAACTCTTGGAGAGATTTAAATCAGATCTTTTGTCATTTGTATCTGCCTATGAAAAAAGTCCTTTGAACTTTTAAATAAGGGTTTCAGTCAGAGCAGCATTAGCAGTGGGTGATCTGGCCAAATGATCAAATTACAGTATCCCCATCTCCATGTTCCGAATCCCACTTCTACCCACAAATTTAGTTGGGGCGATCACATGAGTCATTTTGGATTTAGTTGCCTGGAAACAAAGCTTGTGACTTTGACCCAAAGCAAATGAGTCTGGGTCACAAATCTTTACATCTTGCTTTTGATCTGATTTTTTATTTTTGAACGTTTTGACTAAAAGTGGTGGCTCATGTTACTGTTCACTTAGGTGCTTTTTTTTTTCAGGCTGCTGTTCCATCCCACTGTCATGATCTGTGTTTTTTCTTTCATTTTCTAGTGTTTCTTTGTCCCCCCCGTGTATCTCTTCGATGCTGTCTTGCCTTCCAGCCCCGCCCACGCTCACCTGTTTCCTCTTGTGTCTCCCCAGGTGTTTCCCATTGTCCTCATTAGTTTGCCTTTATATTCTGTGTCCTGTCTTCAGTCTTTGTGGGATCATTGTTCTGTCTTCCTCGTTCCTGCTAGTCTGTGAGTGCTTGTAGAGTTTTTGAGCTGCCTCGCCAGCCTTTTCTGTTATATTAAAGCTTTTTTGTTACCTTTTGAACCTCACCTGCGCCCTGGGTTTTTCCTGCTCCAAGTTCTGTCACCCACCAGTTCAAGTTTGTCTTGCTAGATAAACAAAAGTTTTATTCCCAACTAGATTTTCTTCTTCATAAGTTTATCAATCATATATGTTGTTTGGATTGTCTTTTTATAATCAGAATCACCACATGGACTTTTATTGCTGCATTCTTACGGAGTTTGTTAGTAGACACAGGCCAAAGGATTGGTCAAAACAAAACAATAAACAACATAACCAAAAGTGAATAAACTCAACAATAAACACAAAAGACAAATGAAAAAAATAACCAAAATATACAAATCCTGACATCACCACATTAAACACCACAATGTGTTTAGAATCCATGTGCTACATATGGCAACATACTGTAAATACTGCTGACAGAGGGACTTCCCCTCTTCAAAACCCATAAAAATATCTCGATTTAAACTCTCAGAAAGTGCAGATGAAAATTGCATCATTGCATCGAAAAATTAAACTGTTTTCTCTCTTAAGTAGTTGCTGATSTACAGAATGAAAGTCAGTAGGGAAGATTTTTTTTGATTGTCTTCCAGTTTTCTTTGGCCTGCTGTGCTGCTTACAGCCTCATCTCAACCCTAACATAATTCCTCAAGCAGAAGGGTCAGTCCATCTCTCGCATACCTTTGCAATCACAAGGTATCGTTTTCTGCCTTTACAAGCAAATGCTCCTCATACTGTTATTGTTTTCATTTCATTATATTCCGCTGTGGTTGGAGCTGATTCACCACCTTACAGCATGGACAGTCTAAATTCAGGAGTTCATGAATCACATTAAAGAGTCGACTCAACTGATAAGCATTGAATGTTTGTCTTTTAACACTACTGAGACGAGATAGCTCATTTAAAAAGAACTTATCTTTCAAAATACATCTTTTYAGTTGTTAAATGCATTTKGTTGAGTTTCTWGAATGCAGAAAATTTGAATTTATTCTCTTCTGTTGRTGTGTAGATATTTTATA